AGAACATAACTTCCATAATATCCTTACACATTTGTTGGATTGATAGCAATCCATTTTTAGAAAATACATAGCGGTGAACTGTTGTTTAAAGTTTAAACATGAGTTGATCGGTTTGGGAGATACTGTAACATGAATCGATATATGAAGTTAGGGCTAAAATAGATAAAAAGATTCATATATAAGATAAAGATAGGATAAAGATACAAATAAGATAAAGATAAAAGAAGATAAGATAAAATCATAAAAAGGGATAAAAGGTTAAGATCAAAAGTAAAGAAGATAAGAAAGAGGAAAAATAAAAACCATAAAATGAGATCAATTGGTAGGTTGTTTGAGAACCTAAGGCTGAGTACATTTCTAAAAAGCTTGACTCATTCGATATGCATGCTTCAGCTTGAGGCATATTGTTGAGTTAATCATAATGTTTATGTGCTATTGTGTGCAAGTCTTCTTCACCTTATCTGTCTCTTCATATACCCTACCTCTTGATCTTCCACCTACCTCTTCCTTTGTATTTATTTACACAGTTTGAGTATGATAATAACAGTCCCATTACTCTTCGAAAATGTCCTAACTCGAAGGAGGCTGACTAGTGGCCTACAACAAAACATAAATTTATTACTGGCAAATAAAGCTTTATTTTGAACCCTTAGAAATGGAAATGCTTTTCGAATCTTCATCCTCTATCAACAAACAATGATGATGAAAGGGATTAATTAATATCAACAAAGTATACTTTATCTTTCAAAACAAGATTTAAATGAAAAGAAACCCCAATGGAATGCATACATGATATAAATTAAGGATTTAAATTTATAACTCCGCCATGAGACAATTAATTGGTATCATGCATGTCTCAAGCCAAGATACAGGGGAGGGTATTATTGTATGCATGCAATGTCCAACAGTATAATGTAGTCACATAGTATGACATAAATCAAAATATGAATATCACTATAAATAGGTTGTTGCCCAAAAGTGACGACATGTCATCCCTCTGTCTGGGCTGGTGTTAAATATGCAAGGATGCACTACACTTCATAGTCCCAAGTGTGGTGATAAGTATATTAAGGTTGCTAGGTCGTCACCAAGAAGCGGCGCACCACTCCAACGCTCGGGGATGGTGCCAAATATGTGAAAGCATGGTGGGGGGTCAATGCGGTGATAAGAATAGAAGGTGGAGTTCTAGACTTCGGGACATGGAACATTGGGTCTCTTCCAGAAGATCTTCTAAGGTAGTCGAGGTTATGAGGAAGAATATCAATATTATGTGCGTCCACTAAAAGAAATGAGTTGGAGAGAAGGCATGAGAGATTAATCTGGAGGTTTTTAAGTTGTCGTATTCTGAGAGAGAAGGCCTTAAATGGGGTAGGCACCATCATGGCACGTGACAATGTTTAGAATGTGGTGGTAGTTTTTAGGAAGAATGACCGTGTTATTAGCATTAAATTGGTGATAAGGGATGAGATCATATACGTGGTAAGTGCCTATGCACCACAAGTGGGTTTAGATGCATTATCATTCAAATAATATTGGGAAGATCTTTACAGAGTGCCAAGAAGAGAGGAATCAGTCCGCATAGGAGGCGACCTCAACGGGAATGTGTGCTCAAGTTGTGATGATTTTGAGAGTATTCATGGTGGACGTGATTTTTACACTAGAAATGTAGCGGAAAGTACATCTTGGATTTTGCATCGCTGTATGAGTTGGATGTAATGAACACATTGTTCAAGAAAAGAGGATTTAACCGTGTGACCTATAGAAGTGGAGCAAATATGTACCCAAATTGATTACTTCTTAATACAAAATACTTGGAGAACTAGTTACACAGGTTGTACGGTTATCGCAAGTGATAGTGTTGTCATCCAACATAGGATGCTTATACTTGATTTTTGAGATAAGAAACATAGAAGTGGTGGAGGCTGAGGGGGAAATCTCCAACAAAGCTTTGCCCATTACATGTTTGGTAAAAATGTATTGTATATTGATAATGACGCACATTTGAAGGATGCATGGTTATTCAATGGACTGGCGGACAGCCTATTCACAAAGTCACGAAGAAGATATTTGGAGAATTTAAAGGATACTTCTCATTAGAAAGGAAACATCTTGGCGGAATGATGGAGTGAAACAAGCCATAAGGAACACAACGGAATGCTACAAAAAGTTGGGGGGAAATTGGAGCGATGAGAACATAGAGGACAAGAAGGCTAAAAGAAAAGCTAAGAAATCTGTAAAGGAAGCTAGAGCGAAAGTGAACAAGGAGTTGTATGTAAAATTGGACTCTAAATAAAGAGAAGGAATATTTACAAACTTGCTCGTCTTCATGATTGTAGGACTCAAGATATCGGGAAAGTCAAGTGTGTGAAGAATGTCGATCAAAGGGTATTAACGGCGGACAGGAAAATAAAAGAGAGGTAGGCACAAGTGAAAGTGGACAATGGAATTGTATGAGCATATCATGTAAGTATATCAACATCATCATGAATATGTATGAGGCTTGTACTACAAGTGTCCATGCTAGTGTAGGGAGAACTGCAATGTTTCCTATTACTATCAGAGTGCACCATGGGTCGGCTCTATGAGTAAAGAGAGCTATGGAGGAAGCACGAGGGAAAGTGAACCATGGAATTGTATGTAAAATTGAACTTTAAAGAAGGATGAAAAAATATAGATATGCTCGTATTCATTATCATATACCTCAACATATCGAAAAAGTTAAGTGTGTAGGATGTCGATCAAAAAGTACTAATTGAGAAGGATATGAGAAAGATTGGGTGAAAGGAAGCAATGGGTCCACATAGCATACTGATAGGGGTCTGCAGAGGTTTTGGAGAGAGGCATCGAGTAATTAACACGATTCTTGAACAAGATTTGGAGAAACAACAAAATGTCAGCGGGTCGGCGGAAGAGCACTCTTATTCCCTTATTTAAGAATAAAAGTGATGTTATCTAAGGGATTAAACTTATGAGTCACATCATGAAACTTTGGGAGCGTGTGATTCAGCTAAGGATCTGAAAAAGTGTGAAGATTTCAGAGAATCAATTCTGTTTTATGCTCAGTCGCTCAACAACTGAGGTCATTCACCCTTTTAGACAACTTGTGAAGAAGTATATATGTAGACACCAACAAGGATCTGCAATGTTCATTGACTTAGAAAAGGCGTGTGAAAGGGTACCTCGGGAAGTCCTTTGGTGGGTTTTAACTAGAAAGGGCATATTACGTATGCATAACAAATCATCATGAATATTTATGAGGAATATACTACAAGTGTCCCTATTAGTGTAGGGGGACTGCAGAGTTCCATATTACTATGAGAGTGCACCAATTATTGGCTATGCGTCTTTTCTCATTTGTTATAATCATGGATGAACTCACAAGGTCAAACCAAGAAGATATACTCTGGTGCATGATTTTTGCCGACGATATTGTGTTGATTGAAGAGACAAGATGATTAGTTAAAGCAAATTTGGGAGTATGGCTACAAACTCTAGAAAATATGGAATGTAAGACTAAGTATATGGAATGTAAATATAGTGGAGGTAGATGCCATGGTAATAGTGAAATTACCTTAGATAATAAGGAGAAGCCGTTCAGTGACATGTTTTGTTACTCGGGCTCCATAGTTTAGAAGGACAGTGAACTAGATGAAGATGTATCTCATAGAACCAGAGCATGGTGGACGAAATTGCAGAGTGCATCAGGACTTCTATGTGATCGAGGTATGCCGATTGGAGTGAAGTTAAGTTTTACCATATATCAATTATGCATGCATTACTGACGTACTAGCGTACAGTGTTGGGCGGTAAAACAATGTCACATTCAAAAGATTAGTGTGTCTGATATGCACATGTAGCTTTGAATGTGAGAACAAACTAGAAAATACCATTTGAAGAATGGACAAACAAGCAAAAGGTTGGAGTAGCACTTACTAGACGAGTTGAGAGGCCGACCCAAACAAGCGTGCATTTTAAATTTCAAAATAAGATTGAAATGAAGAGAAACCACAATGGAATACATACATGCTACATCATCAGCAAAATCTTACATGATTGATAAAGCTTAAGAGTTTTAAAAGACACTTACTGATTCCAAAAAATCATCATTAAGGATTTAAAGCTTATCCAATAGTTATACAAACAATAGTTAGCACTAACTAAAAACTTAAAATTGAATTAGCTAGTAGCATAGGCAATTATATAAAAAGGGAAAAAAAACTAACAAATTAGTATTGTTACTCAAAAGCATATAATAAAAGTTGTATCACAATCTTAGGTCTCTCAACAAAAAGTGATAAATAGTCCATAAAATAAGCCTAGTCAAACCAGAAACTTTTCATGTCTCTTTCAGTTGTTCATCTTAATGATTAGACTAAAGTTTATGAGGAAGTCCTATCGACTAGGCTAAAGTTTAAAAAAGAGTTAATTCCCAATGTAAGAGTAAAACAATGCGGCAATGCCAAACTCCAAAAAAAGGAGTTAGAAGTTTCATAGGGGTAAAAAGAGACAAGTGGACGACAATGTTATTTTAGTGTACATCTTCCACCTTCAGAAAGAAACCACCACAGAACCACCAAGGGCAGAGGTAGGGGCAACCTAGGACCAGCCCACCCCAAATTTCATTTTTTTTTAAATATTGGTTTAAAATGATTGTGTAAAAAATTGTCCACCAATAATCTTTGTACCGGCCCAACCCGGTGCCCTGGCTACATCCTTGAGGACAAACGGCACTACTCGCAATGCCTGAAAAACTACTTTTTGAGGGGGGGAAATGCAAGGAGAAAATTTGGAGTATAAGTTAATAGTGTCTTGAGAGTTGAGAAAGTGTGGTTAATAATAAGTTAGGATGTAACCCTTAATGTCCTATCATAGTATCATGTAGAAATAATTAATGGATATGTGAACAATGAAAACATAAACGGGAAGGAACTTTCAGGACAAGTGTAGGACAAGAAAATGCAGAGAAAATGAAGAGTAGAAAACACCCAAAACATAATTACCAGTGAGTTGACATTGGAGAGACCATGCCCTTCACCAGAGGCAAGAAATATTTCATTCCCCATAAAATTTTCATCCTTTAGATAATTCAGAATTTCTGAAGGTCGAAAAAACCATTGAAGCTTTACTTTCTTGGACCTATCTGCATTTTCCCAGATTTTAATAAGCTTTCCGATGTATGGTTCAGGTTCACCTTCCTTGTGCATATACACACAATCATAAAGTGCATACCCAATGCCATCATATGTAAAAGATTCATAAAATTGGACCTCTTTCCGCTTTCCACCAACTCCTCTCTTCTTGCCCCAAATAAATTCAAGACCTTCGCATATGTCAAGCTTGCTTGTGGATTTTGGAGTATCCTGAAGAGCAGCTCCAGTCGAAGATGTCATGATTTCACCACGTATAGTCAATGGGATTGATCAAATGTCATTGCTGATAATCCAAAAGAACACATACACAATAAATTTCATACATTAATAAACTTAATAAATAAAAACAAGCATCAAAAATAGAAAAAAGCTACTCCCTCTGTCCATAAAACTTGGCCAACTTTGACTTGCACGAAGAAATAACTTCAACTACCAATTTCTTACTTTAAAAGGAATTTGCAAACTTTTTTGGGACGGCTAAATAAGGAAATTTGGAAAAGTTTTGTGGGGCGGATGGAGTATAAAACAACCCGCAAACAAGTTTCTACAATCATGTGGTCAGTAGTGGTGATCAAATCATTTAAATGTATGTACCTATATATTACACATACATTTTACAGAATACCACAACCATATCAGTATCTATTGTCTTTTTATTTCGTTATCATAGTGATCTTTCTTTACAGTTCACAACACGTCCCACACAGGAAGGAAGAAAAAAGCAAGAAATGAGTCACAAATCAAAATACTGCATGATGCCATTAAAATGAACCAAGAGGTGAGACCCATAGTGAAGACACACGAGAACAAAAGACAATGCAATATAAAAATCCATTTAAATCGCACACTGCCAAAATAAATCAAAGATGATGCATTATTAAACAATTCTCGTTGTGATCTATGGATAAAGGTGGCTAAAGAAGGTTTTTAAATTTGCGCAAAGGCATCGGTTGTCCTTCAAGCTGTGTTGCTCCATTATCATCATTATCAGCACCTTAATGGCTTAATCCTAGCAAGTTGGGGTTTGTTGAATTAAATCTATATTTCCAATTAACCATACAAGATTAACTAGCACTATAAATTCGTGCAAAACCATAGTGAAAATGTTTAGGGCCAGGTGCCCTTCCTGTCGCAACCTTAATAAGAAGGAATAATGAGATGAGAATTCTAACACCTCCATCATCACAAGTTATTTCCACATGCATGGTTTATATTAATAAAAAGTTATGGGTTGAGATATCAACTGTTGTTATTTGCATTACATGATTGATATTGCAAGACCAAATGCAAATTATAAAACTTGGTGGGGATAGTGCCCACTATCTGTCTGTCCATTAAAACTTGTTCATGCACAGCACACAATTGTGAAAGCATGTCCAAGAGGAAACATTCTCCGATGGCACCAACACAAATTAATTGATATTACAACTTGGGCATGTTTCCAAAAGATGAATATATGAAAATATGCCTGTATATCAAAACTGACCTAGTTAGTGACATTCTCCAGTGCTTATACATACAAGTCGTTGTAGTGACATTACAACATACAGCAGTACGACATATGTACTCAGTTGAAAAATGTACTACATTTTTTACAATACATTTCTTTATTTAAATATAGAATAATATAGTAATCGGTAAAAGTGATAGTTTCCGCCGGTTTTACAATCGCTTACCGACTGAGAGAGAGCCCGACAAAAGCTGCAGGGGTTTGCGGCGAGGAAGTTGTATATCGACTGTGAGTAGTCGGTTTATGAATTTCCGTTAAGCGCAGACAGCAGCCTCAAAACGAGGTGGAATCTGCTAGAGTAGATGAGTTCCTGGTGCCTGAAGATACTTCGATCAGCCGACGCGTGCTCAGTGCTCCGATTGGGTTAGGTTAAGAACCTTGGTTTCAGTTGTTCATGATTAAAGAGGACGTCTTTAAAGACTTACTAAAAGTGGTTTTTAAATTGGGTAATAAGATGAGCATAAAATAAAACGTGTTGTAAATTATTTGAAAAGATTTAAAACATCATTTAACTTTAAAATTTCCAATGTGTATAATATAATATGTGGGTATCCATACCCCTACCCTACCCCACCCTACACCATGTTACCTCACCTACCCTCATCCCCTACCCTACCTCTAGCCCTTACCACCCTACCCCTGACTCATACCCTACCCTACCTCTTTACCCCATATCACCTGCTCCTACCTCGATCCCACCCCGACCCTGACCGTGGAGTGAGGGTCGGGTCGGGTGGGGGTCAAGGTAGGGGGTAAGGTCGAGGGTAAGGGTGGTAGAATGGGTAGAGTGTGAGGTTGGGGTAGGGTCAAGGTAGGTACGGGTGGTAGGGGTAAAGGGGTAGGGCTGGGTAGGGTAGGATGTGGTTAGGGTCGGGGTAAGGTACGGTTGGGGTAGGGTGGGTAGAGGGTAGCAGGTAGAGGGGTAATAATAGGGTAAGGGCAAAGAGTAAGAGTAAGGGTACATTCGAAAATTGAAAAAAACTTTAAGTGTCACTTAATTAATACATGAGGGTGGTGTACTTAGTAAGGGACATTTTAAGCACCTCTTTCGGTTAGGAAGCAGTTTGCGTGTTTACTTTATCTGTCTTACTAACATAAATGTGACTTTAGCGGCGGCGAAGTAAACAACTCCAGAGGATGCGGCAGACTCCTTGAGTACTCGTTAAGTACGTCGGATATGCACGGTCGACAATCTGGGTTTATATTGAAAAGTTTATTACGGAGTAATAGGTTAAGGGGACAAACGTCAAAAAATTAAACTCTATCAAATGGGCCAAATCCGAGAAACTATCAAATTAACCCTTTTTACGGTTACCCAAAAAACAATCAAGACCTTCAATTCAATTATCACTCCATCAGCTTTCGTAACGAACAAGTTAGCTAGTTATATGTACACGTCGCGATTTACAAGGCTATTTTACTTTTGCCATTTTTTCTTTTCTTTTTCTCCTTCTTATCCACCTTTATCCTTCCACAGTTCCACCGCTCTCTGGGTGAGCAAATAACCGATTTAACCGAATGTCCATCTTTATTCTTCGAGCATATTTAGATGCAAAGTCATCTACCAAATTTGCAATGTCAATCTCTTCGAGTGTTTCAGATTCTATGGATATCAACGCCAATCCATTGAGTCTCTCTTGTGACATAGTTGACCGCAAGTAGGACTTCAACAACTTCAACTTGGAAAAACTTTGTTCTGCCAAAGCCACCGTAATCGATATGGTTAGCAAAACTCTGTACGCAATAAAGGCATTTGGAAAACAATTCATTTCTTTTAAAGAATTCAAAATTCTTGTTGCCCCTATCTTTTCCTTTGGCAAAATCTCTCTAATCAACTTCACCTCAATATACAAATTGTGACCATCAACATCGCTGCATTGCCCATCCCTCTGCAGTACTGTTTGTAAATGAGTGCAACATGACTCCAAATCTAAATCCGTGAGAGATTGTAACTTCTCAAAATTGAACAAAAACCCAAACATATTTTCATATACTTTGTATTGCTCAAACCTCCGTGACAATGAGCCAATAGATTGATCTACTATGTAGACAAAGTATTACACTCTGAACAGCTCTTCTGGTGTTGATGTGGATGATACAGAAGATTCACCAACACTCTCATCAAATTGTTTTTTTCTGCGAATTACACGCTTCTGAGGAAACACTGGTTCAACTTCCAATTCACTGGCTATTTCTTTAGCCACACGCATAGCACTAGAAAAACCAGTTTCTCTATACTTCTCAAAAAAAGAAATTAGCCCTTTGACTTCAACAATAGCAACATCAAGAAGCATATCTTTTGCTTGTAGATTTTTGCTCACCAAATTAACAGCATATAATATTTCATACCAAATAACTGTAGCAAGCAAAAATTCAAAATTACAAAGATCATTTGTAGCTAAGGATCTAGCTTCACTTTGTATTTTAGAATCATTGTCTGTCTCGGCCAATTCTAGCAATGCTTCTCGAATGTCACTGATTTGAAATCTTATTGCTTTGACACTTTCCACACGACTTCCCCACCGAGTGGTTGATAAGGATTTTAGAGTCAATCCTTGGACATTGTTTTTTAAAATTTGCCATCTTTTTGTAGAATTAGCAAAGAGTGTGTAGATTCGTTGCACTACTCCAAAAAATCTCTTGCTCTTCGAGAACAATTAGCAATGTCACACAAGGTCAAATTAAGGTTATGACTACCGCAAGGAGTATAGAATGCCCTAGGATTTACATCCAAGAGTCTTTTTTGCACACCTTGATGCGTACCTCTCATGTTTGATCCATTATCATATCTTTGTCCTCTAACATTATCAATATCAAGATCAAGAGACTTTAACACACTTTGTAACACTTCAAAAAGGTCAAGTCATGTCGTGTCATTCACAACCAAGAATTCCAAGAAAATTTCTTCTATTTTAATCGGATAAGAGGAGATATCAACACATCTTAATATCAAAGTCATTTGTTCTTGGTGACTCGAATCAGGAGTACACTCAAGTATCACATAAAAATATTTAGATTCTTTGGTTGTTTTAATGATCTTAGATTGTACTCATGAAGCAAGCATCTCTATCAATTCATTTTGAATCTTATGACTAAGATAATGATGATGAGTATCCTTATTGTCAACGCGACGAATAAGCTCTTGAATAATAGGATCAAATTCACCCAACATCTCAATTAATCCTAAAAAATTCCCATTATGATTCTGATGGAGCCGCTCATTCGTTCCACGAAATGCCAAATTATGCTTAGCAAGATATTTCACAGTTGCAATCACCCTAAACAACACTTGCCTCCAAAACTCTTTTTCTTTCAAAAGTTGATCATGAGCTACTTTATCAATTGTCTCATTTTTTTTAATCGAAGCCTCGACTCTACCCAACTCCTCATGTTACCCATATGCTCCACACATGTTTCATGTTCTCTCAGTCTAGCACTAAGATGTCCCCAATCATCAAACCCCGTGTTAGCTAAAGAACCTTTGCCTACACCTTTTCTAAAAATCTTACAACAAAAGCAAAATACCCTATCAAGCTCCTTTGAATAAACAAACCAGTCTCTATCATATTTCTCTCCATTAGACAAACTTCTGGTGTAAAAAGCTGATGAGAATCTTCTAGAGAATTTATCTTTAGGCCCTTCCACAAAATTTAAATCTCTTTTAGGACCATTCTCTACCAAAATGTCTGTCAACTTTGAATCTAGAGCATCCCAGTTTCTTGGATCATATATGTCAAATAAAGTAGAATTATTTGGCCTATCATCTAAAATATCAATTCTGTGGTCCTCTTTATCAGGATTCTCAGCCATTTCGTTAACACATTGATCAGGTATTTCAACATTATTTTCAACATTCACTTCTTGTTGTTCACCCTCTTGAACATCTCTAACTTCTTTAATAATAAACTTATCAAGAGCTCCTTTTTGAGATTGGGTTAACTCGTCGAGTCTTCTTTTCCTTTGACGCTTTTCATGACCGGATTGGTATTTATTTGGAAACAAAATTATTATCAATTATTGAAATTCTACATGTTTATAAATTTTAAATTAATATTCAATTTAAAACTAGGGTGAAAGCATGAATGACTATACTAGTGTATAATTATAATTTATCAACCTCAAGTTACCAATTTATCAACCTCAAGTTATCAATTTTAATTGCTAAACACATTTACAAAATTACACATTTATTATCAATTCAAATAATGATAATAAATCTGAAAATAAAATCTGAAAATTACAACAACACAACAATTCAACAAACATTAAATCTGAAAATAAACAAATTACAAGAATTCAACAAACAATTCATCAATTCAATAAATCGAAAGTTCACAAGAATTAGCAAATTAGCAACTAAATGAATAAACTTATAAAAGAAACTAGATGTAGTGGACTGACCGGAAGGGGGGAGGCAGAGGGCGGCGGAGGCGGGTCGGCTGCTGCAGAGTGCGGTGGCGCCGTGGCGGGAGCATGGAGCTTGAGGAGTTGAGGTTGTGGCCCGTCTGGCGGTGTGCGTTGGCGATGTCCTGGAGGCTGGAGTCTGGAGGCCTTGCCGCCTTGGCGATGTCCTGGAGGCTGGAGTCGTCCGTCGTCGGTAGTGGAGAGGCGGAGTCGCGAAGAGGGCGAGACTGCGAAAGGGATGTCGATTGATTGTCGTGACTCGTGGAGAGCAGCGAGCTAGCAGGAGAAGGGGATTGGGGGAAGTGATTTGGGCTAAAAACTTATGGGCTGGAGGTAATACTAAATTTTTTTGGGCCCTCCAAAATACCGGGCCCTGTGCGGTTGGGCTGGGCAGACATGCCCAGGGCCGGCCCCTCCTCATCAGCATTCCCCAACTCATTCTCCTCTGTATGAAGATTGGTAACAACAAAGTACGTGCTTTTGGGGCCGGTCCTGAGAAAACACGGGCCCTGTGCAAAAATAAAATGTGGTCTTTTTCTAAAATAGGTAGAAACATAATATAAGTGAAATTTATATTTCCTCCGTCCCATTGGACTTTGCCATCTTTCCTTTTTTGGTTGTCCTAAAAAACTTTGTCACTTTCCCATTAAAGTAACTATTTTGTGGTTCTACTCATTTCTCTCTCCTCTGCACAAACTTCAATCACACAATTTTTACTATTCTTATTTCTCACCTAACTTAAGGAATGCTAAGTCCATTGGGACGGAGGTAATATATGTAAAAATTTGCTGCAATAATATTTTTTTATCAAAATACAAGTTTTTTTGGAAGTATCAAAATACAAGTTATTCACTAACATAATAGTTATTCACTACATATGGATGTGTGTAGCTGTTTTGAGCTTAAAATCTTATGAGTTATATCAATTATTGTATGATACAAAAACACAAATTGAAGGATTGTTAACATCAACCATTTGGTTCAGTTGGTTCGATGTCAGCATGTGTGAGAAGGTTGTCAGGGTTCG